AACCATTGACTGAGGACATTACTTTACTATAGTTGACTTAAAGTTTGTTTATTAAACTCAAGCTTCGCCTACCTATAAATATATTCAGTTTACAACTCACCTCAATTGGTCACTTCGCTTCCTTAGATAATAGGGACCTGTGAACTAATGCTCATCGAGATTTTGAATTCTTTCGGAAGCCAACTTCCTCTAGCGCAAGGTGGTGTGTGACCCCGTCACACTTGGTAGCACTACATGTAGTAGTCAATCCACGCCAACGCGGGTAAACTACCGGAACCTCTCCGATGTTTGTCGCCATGGATAGGAATGATTTTCCCATCTGAGCGACTCACAGATCGAGTCGGTTCGGAAGATGGCTGGCCTCTTCGGGATGAAGGCCCTGCAGAGCCTGGTGGGGCCGAGCAGCTCGAGCGTGTCAATGCGTTTGACGCCTACGAGCGAGGGCTCATCAGACATGTGCAGGAAAACCTGCATGCTCCGGCTGCGGAAGAAAGTCCTCCGCACCCGAAGCCAATACGTCTTAAGGTAAAGCCGTATGAAGGGAAGGAGGGTGAGAGCATTCACTTCTGGGCTATCATGCCCTGGTCTAGAAGGAGCAGTTGTTCGCCAAAACACTTGGAGGTGGCCCGGTGCGTGTTTCTCGCGCCGCACCGAATCCCTCTGAAGGACTGCACGACTTGTCGTAAGAAGCCCGAGAGCCCGGGTGCTCTTTACCTTCTCTGGAGCTACCCTTAGGTTCTTCTGAGAACTGTCCCAACTGGAACTCGTGTGAGGATATGTTCTGGGCGTGGGTTGAGTCTCGCAAGTACTCACCCTCAACGTTAAGGGAACTCCATGAAGATCAGTTGCTGTCCTGCATCCTGAACGAGCAATATTTCCGTGTCCGATTCGCCCACTTGGTCAGCAAGCGCTTGCTACCGAGGGTCATTTTGAAGCGCGCGGTTTCTATCGCTCATGCTGAGCGCGTCTACGAAGTGTCGTCAGCGTCCGTACCCCGTTCGGGCAAGAAGCCCCGGACTACTTACGAAGCTGCCGCCGTTCCTGTTCTCAGATCGTGACAGCCTTCGGGCAGTCTATCAGGAGCCATTTAATAGACCCCCACAAGTTCTCGGAGTGGGCATGAACCCTCCACTTCACGAGGAGCTGTCGCTTACCGCGACGCCGTAGCACCTGGAGAATCCGCTCCACGTGGTAGTGGACTTCTTCGTTCCGGTCAAGCAGGGGCGGAGGTGCCCTCGTACGAGTACGAGTACGAGTAATCGGCGCCTCCGGAACGCAACCCTCGTCCGAGTGCTTCTCCGGCGAATCCGGCGCAGAGCCCTAAGTTTGACCGTCTCCGCCAACGAGGCCTCGTGCTTGAAATTGCACTTGGCCTTGGGACTGGCGGTGATGCAGCCTCCCAGTCCGGGAATCAGAGCGTGTGCGCTCGTTTTGCGGGCCGCCTGGGCCAGTTGGAGCGGGAGGTCTAGAGCCTGCATCTGCGGGTGGACCGGCGGGCCTCTTTGTCCGATCTTGACGAAGCCGACCGCATGGTCCGACGTGTTCAAGCTCTGCTGTCACGTCCGGAGCCGAATTAGACTCACTCCCAGCCGTACGCGTGTGGTGTGTACCCGACGTGCTCGTCATACTCGGCGCATTCATCTAGGGTCCGTTCGACCCCCCCCCCGGCGTATGGTCTAGTCCGCAGCCTTACTGTTCATCCTGAGGCTTTAGTGACTGCTCCGACGCCCTCGCCGACGTCTGTGGCCGACCCCCGCTCGGAGGTGGTCTGCGAGTCAGCAACCCCCTGCGGATCATGATACCGCTGAAGACGCCCAACGTAGAACGTCGGGTGCGTCGTCATTGACTTGGAGATGTTGATGGTGTACGACGCACAATACCTGGCCAGGCCTGCGTATGGTCCAATGAAGCGGTGCTTCAGCTTGTTGCTGCCGACAGAGCTTACAGTGTCTAGTGGTAGGCTCCTCGTGTCTAATAACACTAATTCACATACCTTAAATACACTTAAATTTCTTCTTCCATGTTTGTCAGAGTACTTCTTTTGTCTGTCCTGGGCCGCTGCCATGCCATCGCGGATCCTGCTGATCACGCATAGCTTGGTGACCACAAAGGATTCCATTTGTTTTAGCAGTGCAATTGGATGTACGTCTGAGGCATGGGAGGAAAGAGCTTTCAGCGCATCCCCCACTAAAAACAGAGGACGCAGTGTCTCCTCGAAGATTGAGAGACACTCTGGGGTGACGGAATTCTTCAAGTAGAACGGCGTGAGCCCCGCGGACGCGTGCACCGCGTTAATAAACGCAAACGCAGCAACTGGAAGCTGCGTCTACCACGTACGTGGGCTTCCGTGCACACACTGCGCAGAGTGTACTCGATCACTCCATTGACACGCTCCGTCTGGCTGTCTGTGTGCGGCTGATCCATTGTGAACATCTGCGAGAATGTCGAGCTTCAGACCCTCGTCGTTGGGTACGACCACCCGTGAAGGTTCGTTGGACTCCACCCGGTAATAGAGGAGTTCATCCTTCAGCTCATATCGGTGGAGCCGGGAGCGCTGTCGCGACGAAAGCCAGTCGGACTTTGCGCCCGTTCCTGCCATAAGGAACCTGACGATATGCGCGACAGCCTCATCGTCTCGATACGCCATGCGTATCCGATCATATAGATCCGTTGTCACCCGCGTGATGTGGGCCAACTCCTGGTCAGGACGCCGAGAGAGGGCGTCCGCAAGCACGTTGAGCTTGCCCGGCTTGTATTCGACGCGGAAGTTGTATTCCGCGAAGAAGGACAGCCACCTCGCCATTCCTTGGGAGAGGTGAGGCGAGTTAGTTGCCGTCCTCAAGGACACGTGGTCTGTGTAGATCACGAAGGGCCGTGAGCCCAGAAGGTGGACCCGAAACTTCACAAGGGCATTCTTCATTGCCAGGTGCTCCTTGTCGTGGACAGGGTAGTTCCGTTCGGCGGCATTGAGCTGCCAGGACTGAAACGAGAGGACTCGTTCGTGTCGAGCCGCATCGGCCTGCAGCAATGCACAGCCGATTGCATAGTCGGCGGCATCGCAGACGACGCTGAACGGCTTTGTCTCGTCCGGCAAGACCAGGACAGGAGCCTCTTGGAGGCTGGCCTTGATGCTGACAAAGTTATCCTGGCGCTCTTGCTCCCAGCGCCAGTTAGCGTACTTCTGAAGGAGGCTCGACGAAGGCTTAGCGAGGCCCGCGTACCCTGCGCTGTGTTTGTGAAGGTGGTTGGCCAAACCAACCACTTTCGAATATCCTTCTGGAATCGGGGAGTGGGCCATGCTGCAAAGGCCTAGACCTGTCTTTGTCAGCTCGAACGACCACGTTGCTGACGCAGCAACCGAGAGCCTTGATCTCTAGTGACGCGAAGACGCACTTGTCGATGTTGACGTAGAGTTTGTTCGCTCGTATCGCGCTCAGCACTTGATGGAGGTGACCCAAATGCACCTCTATGACCGTCTTGCCTCCCTCGGAACGGCTATGGACGAATATGGCGTCGAAGTACGTTTGTACGAAGGCGCTGAATGGCCTGAACAGCTGCTGCACCAAGCGGATGAATGTCGCTGGGGCGTTAGCCAAATCTTGTGACATGAATAGCCACCCCCAAAGCAATCCGCTCGGAGTACTCACCGAGGTGAGCGGGATGTCGCTCTCGCGGATCAGGTTCTGGTAGTATCCGTCTACCAAATCCAGCGCACTGTACAGTACGCTTCCGGTCATGTTGTTTAACAACACAGCCTGGCCAACGCCGCCTTGCGCCGCCACCATCGAAGCGTTCTCGGAGTCGTCATATACGTCGATGACCCCAAGCATATACTGGATGGCTCGGTACCCTGCCAACCCTTGCGGGAGCCCCGGGTCCTGACAGAGGTGGGTAATGGCTCACTAATGTTCTGTCGGACCTCGCAGGGCGGCTGGCACCGATTGCCTTGCCTCGCCAGCCGATTCAAATCGCGTGTTCCTCGAGCCAGGGCACACCTAGGATCAAATCGTAGGGTTTCATGTCGAGAAGAGTAAACTGTTCAGGGCTGTCGAAGTCTCCGAATTTGACGGCCATATCCATTTGCATTTTGACGACCTTCCCGTCACGTTCGCCCAGTTTTCTCCGAACAACTTTATCAGTTTTATCTCGTTGAATAACTTAATCCACTCACCTTAAACATCCGCCCAGTCGTTTATCTCGCTGAGCAACTTACTCCACTCACCTTGAACATCCGCCCAGTTGTTTATGCGTGGTTCTAGATGGCTTCCATATAAATAGCAACCGACTTGGCGGTAAAAGGCCTTGGTACTTAAAATATCAGCCCGTTCCGAAGATTTGTTGTCATTCAATAATCCTTTAGGTAAACCTTGATTACCCCCCCCCTGGACTAAAATAAGCTGCATGCATAAGTGCACTTATAACTCTTTCATAAAATTCAATTAATTTTTCACGTTCTTTAAATTCCCAAAACGAAGTCTTGAGTTTCTTGATACATCCGTCTCCTTCAACAAAAAAGTGAAGATGAAATCGCTCATAAAAAGCGACCTCCGCGTCGGGATCCAACTGATTTGTAAACGGCAGCAAAGCGTGCAGCAATCTAAGCACAGGGGGTCAGAGCAGGAGGATTAGCAGCACGCGTACCTGTGGTGGGCTTTTGGGGACGCTTTCGGCATTAACATACTAGTATTTCTTGTCGGGACTCCGGAACTGGGACTGGAGAAACGCTCTCGGCACGACCATGATTGACTCAATCCCTGTGACAGTGGCCATGTTACTCCTCAGGAACATGCACCGTCCAGTCGAAGACGACTCCGAGTCGATAATATATCTTCCCCTAGGCCTCCCACGAGAACTCTGTCCTCGAACACTTAGTGAACATGATACAGCAGACCCAGAATCTATTATGCCATCCAAATGCTTACTGCGCCACAATGCTTCTTTGTGTGGCACCAAGAACTTTTCCATGTTACGCATGTCTACTTATGAGTTTTCAAAGCAACTTTTGTGAAGGTGCCTTTCTGTCATTAAGGTGGCGGGTTCGTGGGCTTGCATCGTTTACTGTAAAAAAATAGAGTGTTTAAAGCAGGTGTTTGCTCATTTGAATACATTAGCATGGAATAATAAGATACGGTCTTGGTAATCTTTTACTCCATCGGGACATCAAGGCTCGACATCGGCGGTTCATACGGAAAAGGAAGAATGAACACTCAGAAATTGATAGAGCTCGATGGCTACTATTATTACAGAAATACCTTGACGGACTATTGCCAGAGCTAATATTACTATAGTTTCAGTAAAATTTCGGCAACGAGGGCGACTGAACCCCTGTCCGTTCCCTATTCAGGAGCAGCGAAACTATTTATAGCCGGCAATGCCTTTAAACCGCGAGGTTTAAGCCGGTAGGTGTGAGCCTAGGCGGTTGCAGTATATACGTCCGAAGATGCATCACAAGCGTCACCCCGCCAGGTATAGCGGAAATTTAACGTACCTTACAAAACATTAGTCAAATAGCGCAGGTCATTTCTGTAGGCCACGACCAGGGTGCTATATCTCCACTTTCGAAAGCGCGAACACTGAATAGCGCACACCACGAAGCTTAGGGCACTGCTGTACGGAGCTCGGAGAGCTGCTGAGATAGTAGAGCAGTAATTAAGGAGGCATGCTAATAAATGCAGCATATTTTAAGACATGCATAGGAGAAGACGCGAGCTGAAGGTGACGTAAACAGCAAGAGCGTAGGCTGGAAGACGATGTATAGTCAAAGCTAACAGCCCCAAATCGACGTTATTCATTGGATCCACAAACCAGTAGTAAGGAGGACATCATACGGATAATGACAGCTGTAGTAGTAGCGGTTTTAATGAAATGGCTACAACGGTAGTTCTACTGCTACTAAATTATCATGTGAAGGTACTGTCAATCTCTGGTCAAATACGTTTAGTTACTGTACTTAAGTGTCCTAAAGAAAGCTTTAAGGGTAAAATATCAGATTGGTAGGACCCAGAAAGGATTCCTGAGCTTTCGAAAGTAAACCCTAGCATTTTACGCCAAAACGTCGGCTTTCGATTTATCGGAAAAATGTATTTCCGCTATTTGCTTCAGCGTTACTAGAGATGGACTTTTTATCAAGAAATTGTCGGGGGCCTCCGGCGATAACTGGACTAAGCCCCACAACATTAGACTGCAGAATGTTAGCTGCTCTGGCAGGGTGGTATCAGTGGTATATCTTAAGTTATATTTTAATATTAAATCTGACCTGCAGGGCCTGACAGAGTACGGCATTTTGCTGAAAGCTAAACACAGGCATTCTGTCACAGTGTACAGTCAGAAGGTGGGCACACTATGCTGGCTGACTACCTGCAGAAAGTATATTCGCTCCAGACTCTCCACACCACGCCCAAGCCAGTAGAACCTTCCAAATCAGTGACGTTTCTTGTATAAGGGGATCGGCAAGCAACTGGTTGCGTCGGGAATTCGCGCTGGACCACCATCTCCGAGGGATCTGCAGAACGTGTAGGAGCTATTCACTCTCTGCGAGGTTGAGTGAGAAGTTCAGTCGTGGATTTTCCTTCAAGCAAAGAACACAAGGGTATATCAGCGTTTGTATTACTTTTGAGCGTCGCTACTACTACTACCTCCTACGTCGGCCCAAGCTACACGACCCCGATTAGAGAAAGCCCGCGACAGTTTAATGGAGAAGCCGGGTATTGGCTAGCCGAATATCGTAGGAGTACAAGTGTGGAAAGAAGCCTTGGCAGCGGAGGGCCAAGGGAGAAGGAGAAAGAAGTGACAAAAAGATAAGCGCTCATGGGTGGTTCGGTGGAAGACTTGGAGCCAGTGAAAGGGTAGTGATATGAGCTTCATTATTAGAAACGGAGCACGTGGAGATTCTCGATGAGGAAGAAGAAATGTGTGCTGAGAGAGATGCTGGCGGCGACACGCAGTAGAGGTCTCAGACAGTAGAACACCAGAGAGATGGCAAGGCACTTGCCTCGCCGCACCGAGCTGATTCCGAGACTGAAGGGTACGAGGCACGAACGGTCCACGTGGAAGGCGAGGGCATGTTCGGTGTTGCGTCTCCGTCTCCTGGAGCGAGGTGGACGGTTGAGTCTGTAACGGGGCTACGCGCAAGAGGCTACACTTATCCATTTGGTTACGAAATAGGTTTTTAACCTTAATGTGAGATACGCCAAGAGATACATTTGGCAGACTGTTGGGCTGCATGAATTCAAGGCATTCATGGTTGAAAGTCAATATCCTTAACCAATTAGAATAAGAGGATTATGTCAACCATTCGTTGATAAATACCTTTAATTTAGAGTATAAAATTAGGAGGCAAGCCCAAACAAACAAATAAGCAGTTTTATTTTCATACCGGAAATAAGCTTTGATTTCCTATTTAAGTAAATCTACACTTTGGGCGAAACTATAGTTAGTCTAAGTGAACGAAGCTTATGCTTGCTCATACAGGTGCGCTAACGTGTAAGCCGAAGTAGTGGGCTTTCAGTAGGCCCATTACACCTGGTAGCCCTTTGTTGTCCGTCCAACGCCCGGCTAGCTAGTGAGTTCGTATCGAATACGAACACAAGGCGGAGGACCAACCCATGGACGATAATCCGTCCATGCGCAGCCCAAGTACTTCCGTCACGTATCTTGTGCGTGCACAATGTCCCCATCTGGCGGATTCAGAGCAGGAAGCTCTCCAAAGACTGTCAACCGTCATTGGAGAGGCAGCCCGTAGCGACAATGCTACGTACGCTGTCGCCGATAGAGCAAGACGGTGTTGCTCGGGATTCATTGTGAGCGAGCAGCGCCATGCTGCCACTGTGCAAGTGTTGTCCGGGACGACACAGCGCGTTCAGTCGTTTAAACTGCACGTGAACAATTACGTGGGGAAAGAGGGCGAGCCTCTTCTCCGATGCCTGTCGAAGTCGACCCTGCCATAGCGGCTCATATCACTGATGAGCCGTCGAAGGTTGCATCCGCCATGTCATGCCTTGGCGGACGAGCAAGGCGCTGGGTGCATGGCCACCGTCTCACCGATCATACGTGCTTTTGAATGTATGCGATGTTTAAGGAGGAGCTCAGACAAGCCTTTGAGCCCCTCAGAATGAGTTCCGGTCGAGAGCACAATTTCTCGACCTGCAGCAAGGTAAGCATGACGTCCATGCTTACGCCCAACGCGCACGGTACTTGGTCTCGAACATCGTGACCAACCCGATCGACGAGGCGACCAAAGTCGACACGTTCAAGAAGGGCTTGAAGAATGGGTCAGAGACGACCTTTCTCTTCGAGAGTACTTGGGTACTCTCGGAAACTGTGTACGCTTCCGGTGTTGGACGCCAACAGCGTATTGGGTAACCCGCGTACAATACAAAACGTGCTGAATTAGTAGGCGCGACGCCCTACTGATATTGCAGTTGCACGTGTCCACAACGGACATGCGACACGGAGGACTGCAGCCCCTAGCGAGAGGGAGTCTCGCTGCAAGAAGCAAGATGACGGGCCAAATCTTTTTATCCTAAAAGCAAAGCACGAAGAGAGCAGGCTCTCTTCGTGCTATGCCTGACTCAGGCGCCTCAAACAACTTTATTTGACTGGAAAGTCCCCCGAAGTGTTTTGGAGGTACGGCTGGCAACAGGTGCCACCGTAAGGGCGGCGAAGAGCTTAGTACACGTGCGCTTCTCGTACAAACACCGGGTGATTGCAGAAGCTCTAATCGTCCTGAAGTTGGACGATAAGTTTGACTTTGTATTGGGCATGTCGTAGCATCTAGTCTCGATGCCACGAGGACGACGAAGTGGCATGAGCCAGCTTCTCGAGCGCGACAACGCGGTCGCCCAGGCGTCTCAGCTCCGATTCAATTGTGACTTGGATGCTCGAAGCGTGCAGCCTTGAGGTCGACCAAGCGGTTTCACCTTGCCTTCTTGCCTGAAAATTCACCAAGACATCTGTACATACGATCAACATTAGTAAGGTGGCACACAAACCATACAACATCCCCGTTACGTCCCACCAATCAATCCACCACAACCACTCGCTGCAATCTCTTCATTTTCGGGAATTCTTGAAATCTATTCTATTATTACCCTTTTTTCCCTAGTCTAGTGCCTTTTACCACTGGGTCAACACTCACCCGATACAGGATACATTATAGCAGCTTATACTGTAACCTTATGCGTCATTCATGTGTCACAACCACTGAATAAAAATATACAGAGAACAGTATAATATACGACAGGGATCAGATTTCTCGGATGACGGTAAGTAGGATAGGCGACTTTTGTCAGTTTTCATTTTCTGTCAGATGTCCGAAAACGACCCCGAAAGGCCACCACAGGTACGTGCTGTAGAACCTCCTGCCCCTTACCCCGCGTGCTTACATTGCTGTACGTTTTGCTGCGTTTACGAACCAGTTGAATACCGACGCGGTGGCCGCGTTCATGAACAATTTCATCTACACTTTCTTGTCAGAAAAAGGTGTAATCAACAAACTGCAGGCCGGTGAGGAAGTTTTGGAGAAGAAAGTGGTCACGTATGCGCGTAATTTTGAAATATTTGCTACTCCGAGGGAACTTCAGCAAAAGAAGGACAACGTTTGCGGATTTTTACGCGGAATAACCCCCTTTGTCTACGGAATGGATACTATAAGCGAAGACCTTGCGAGGAGTGTAGCGGCTGCTGCGGTGAATGCCTGGATAGATAAGTTTGGAGAAAAGGACTTGAATTCTCCCCCAGTTTTGTCCCAAGGGCTCATGCAACAGCTCAAGCTCACGTTTTTCGAGACAGAATACCACGGCAATGCGCACGTAAAGTTTGCAGACTATCTCTGGCGTTGCTGGGAGGTTTATGACTCTGAGATCTTCAGGGCCCTGTACGTGACGGTCGTTCAAAGCTCAGGCTTCGGGAAGAGTCGAATGCTGTTCGAGCTGGCGCGCAGAGCAAAAGCTCCGAGCTCTCAGATGAAAGTCCTGTATACCTGCTCTCGCTTCCACGAATCGACAGGGTATCCAGAGGCGACCAAAAATCTCCGCTACTGGCTAATCCCAGAGTCTTCTACCGTCGAGCAGATTACTTCTCGTTTGGAAGCCATCTACAACTATGCGGTAAAGAATTGGGAAGAAGTTCAACGTGAGTG